TAGAAGCTAGTTGTTATCCTTTCAGGGATCATTTTGTCTAGTAAAAAAGGGGCAATCATACCCCCAGGCACTTACCCCTTCTGGAATTGCTATAATTTTTGTCAGGCATCTTCCAATCTTTTAGAATTTTTGTCATACCTCCAGGCATGATACCTGAAGAGAACGTCAGGGGGTTTTAATGATTGGCTACTGAGTAAATAATGATTTTGGCCCCGCCTGCCCAAATCATTCCCCCCTTTATGGGAAATTTGTAATGAGTGGGCACGGGGGTGCATTTTTCCCAAAGCTTTTCAGTCTGTAATTTACATTCTATAATAACGCCTACGCTATTGTGAATTGTTGCATTCACGTATTGTGAACTGTTGCAGCCACGGTACTGTGAATTGTAGCCACAGTATTGTGAATTTTGTACCCACGGTATTGTGAACTGTTGCAGCCACGGTATTGTGAATTGTTGCACCCACGGTATTGTGAATTGTGCTGTCACGGTATTGTGAATTGTTGTAGCCACGGTATTGTGAACTGTTGCAGCCACGGGATTGCGGGTTGCGAATTGTTGCAGCCACGGTATTATGAATTTGAGAGCTCAGACTAGCGCAGGTAGTTCCGGTAGTGACTCAATTCACTTCCGGGTACCCCAAAATATTCATGAAGGTGAGTCAGGCTGAGAATTGACCGCTGGGGGTCACCTTACTCAGCGGAGGAGCTGCCCCCTTCCCTCAGTTCGACCCCCCATACCTCACTCTGATTATTATTATAATCAAGGGGGAAGCGCTAAACCCGGATTATACAGCGCCTGGGGGGGGGATGTGGAAGGCATTCTGGCTTAATTTGGGGAACTGGAGCACAGATCCAATTCCCTAAATCAAGAGCCCCTCACCAACATCAAGGAACCTTCCTTGAGGGGACCTCACTCTGAGGTAACTAGACCTCCAACCTCAGAATAAGTATCCCCCGAAACGGGATACTTTGTCGGGGGATACCTACAGTGTGAGGGGATAGCTGTTAGTGTTGAGGATACCTATAAAGTGTGGAATGCCTAGAGTGTGAAGGATTGTTCCAACCAGGGTATTGTGAATAGTGAATTGTTCCAGCCAGGGTATTGTGAGTAGTGTATTGTTCCAGCCAGGGTATTGTGAATAGTGTATTGTTCCAGTCAGGGTATTGTGAATAGTGTATTGTTCCAGTCAGGGTATTGTGAATAGTGTATTGTTCCAGTCAGGGTATTGTGAATAGTGTATTGTTCCAGTCAGGGTATTGTGAATAGTGGTATAAACCTTGGTAATAAATACCGACAAGTTGGTTTAGAAAGACACGTAAGCAAACACTATAACATATTTATTAGAAAACGTTTCGGTCCTGGGACCTTGATCACTTCTAACATACAGAGGTAGAAAGACATTATATGTAGGCGGAGAGTGAGGTGTGGCGCACGTGACCTGAGGAATATCATAAGAACATGTGGCGATGTTGCCACGAATACTCGCCGGGAACTTGCTATGAGTAACATCAACGTTTCCACCATAAACACATCATCTATCAAAGACCTCACTACGAAACGCAGCCCCACACCTCTAACTTCTACAGCAGGCGTCTACACTATCCCCTGTGGGTTCTGTCCCAAGAAATATGTAGGCGAGACAGGCAGAGATCTTGCAGTCCGCCTGAATGAGCATCGAAATGCCTCTAACAGAGACGATGTATTATTATTATAATCAAAAAGAAGCGCTAAGCCACAAGGGCTATACAGCGTGAGAGACGATGTAAGGTACGCATGTGTCCTCCACAGAGACCCCACGGGGCATTTGATGAACTGGAATGAGGCACAACTCGTTCTCACCGAACCAGACCTCAGACGCCGACGGTGCCTAGAAGCCTCACTAATCGCCGTCACCGACACTATAGAACGCAACACTGGAAACTACAAAATTTCAAAAACATTGGCATACATGATACTTAAGCAGCACCAACCCAACAACACAGGAGTCACGTGATTTCATCGTCTACCCGTCCTCATCATAGGCAGAGGTTGTTTTTTATAAGCACCTGCCTCGCATGAGCCAGTAGGCCTTCTACAGTGTACCTCCATTCTTATGTTCTTATGATATTCCTCAGGTCACGTGCGTCACACCTCACTCCCGCCTACATATAATGTCTTTCTACCTCTGTATGTTAGAAGTGATCAAGGTCCCAGGCCGAAACTTTTCTAATAAATAGCTTATATATGCTTACATGTCTTTCTAAACCATGTGATAGTGTAATTGATCAGGTCCAGGGTATTCGAATATTATGTTCCAGTCGGGTATAGTGAAAGTGTATTGTTCCAGTCAGGTATTGTAAGTGTATTTTCCAAGTCAGGGTATGTGAATAGTGTATTGTTCCAGTCAGGGTATTGTGAATAGTGTATTGTTCCAGTCAGGGTATTGTGAATAGTGTATTGTTCCAGTCAGGGTATTGTGAAGTGTATTGTTCCAGTCAGGGTATTGTGAATAGTGTATTGTTCCAGCCAGGGTATTGTGAATAGTGTATTGTTCCAGTCAGGGTATTGTGAATAGTGTATTGTTCCAGTCAGGGTATTGTGAATAGTGAATTGTTCCAGCCAGGGTATTGTGAATAGTGTATTGTTCCAGCCAGGGTATTGTGAATAGTGTATTGTTCCAGCCAGGATATTGTGAATAGTGTATTGTTCCAGTCCAGGATGTGAATAGTGTATTGTTCCAGCCAGGGTATTGTGAATAGTGTATTGTTCCAGCCAGAGTATTGTGAATAGTGTATTGTTCCAGCCAGGATATTGTGAAGTGTATTGTTCCAGCCAGGATAGTGAATAGTGTGTTGTTCCAGCCAGGATATTGTGAATAGTGTATTGTTCCAGCCAGGGTGTTGTGAATAGTGTATTGTTCCAGCCAGGGTGTTGTGAATAGTGTATTGTTCCAGCCAGGGTGTTGTGAATAGTGTATTGTTCCAGCCAGGGTGTTGTGAATAGTGTATTGTTCCAGCCAGGGTGTTGTGAATAGTGTATTGTTCCAGCCAGGGTGTTGTGAATAGTGAATTGTTCCAGCCAGGGTGTTGTGAATAGTGAATTGTTCCAGCCAGGGTGTTGTGAATAGTGTATTGTTCCAGCCAGGGTGTTGTGAATAGTGAATTGTTCCAGCCAGGGTATTGTGAATAGTTCCAGTCGGCAGGGTATTGTGAATAGCGTATTGTTCTAGCTACGGTGCCCCGTAACCTGGTGGCTAAAGCTCTCGCTTCACACAACGAGTGTCTGGGTTCGATTCCCAGCGAGGGTAGAAACATTGGGCATGTTTCTTTACATCGGTTGTCTATGTTCACCCACCAGTAAATTGGGTACCTGGGAGTAAGTCGGCTGGTGTGGGTCGTATCCCAGGACAAAACTGACTTAATTTGTTCGAAATGCTCTGCATAACAAGGGGTTTTCTATATAGTAGTATGTCATTGATGTCAGCTAGGACTGTATACCTTGTACTTGTAGTAAATAGATTTATTATTCCATTCTCTATTTTGCAGTAATCTCTATTCAACTTTGGAGCCGTTGATAACTGTGGTCTGAATCGATACATAAATCATGTTCTGTCAGACCTTGTTTGTGCTTCTGGTCTTATCATTGTTGTCGTATTTGAGAGACCACACACTCCACCTACATATGAAGACACACGTCTCGCTCATGGGTGTCTCACGGAGACGTGCTCAGCTCCGCTCTGTGAAAATTGTCAACTTCCATTGTCAATTCGCCATCTCCTAAGCGGTCAAGTAGAATTTACGCCCGGCGTCGTCACCGCTCTAACGCACTTTACCTCACCTGACCTCGCTGACAGCCCCACCTGTGATATGGACTCTCTCTTTGACCTTTTTTGTCAGTGACAATTATATTACACCAACTTTCATTATATTTACCCTTTAGTGCTCCCGACTACCCTTACTGACTTTGCCTCTTGCATACTGCTAACCTTCGCTGGTCTGTGTCTTCTCATATTTTATCTTTATCACATCCTACCTGCAGCACTGTATGGCTCTTATGGATTTAGCGCTTAGTTTGATCGTAATAACCCAGTAATTGTATTGTGAATTGTTCCAGCCACAGTATTGTGTTATCAGTAGTTCCTACCACAATATTGTGTTAGTAATTTAGCCACAGTACTGAGATTGTCGATTGCATGGAGGTGTTGGTGACTGCAGAATTTATATTGCATTCATGCTGAGGCAATGAGGTTTGATCCGAGTAAACGGAGGAGCAGTTCTGATACCTTTGATCAAGAGTCTTCCAACTCCTTGAAACTATATAACTTTTAGGTTTGTAGGCTATTCCAGATTTGCTTTCGAACTTTTATATAGTGATGAGTGATTTTTAATACTTCATTATAAATATTAGACACATTGAGTTATTGCAGCCATTGGGAAGGGCTAAACCCGTTGGAACTCGTGTACTTGAGGTAATGCGAAGCAGTCAGGTTTGATCCGAGTAAAATGAAGATAGCTTCAATTCCTTGAATCAAAAGCTCCTTACCTACATCAGGGCACATCCCTTGAATGGACTTTGAGTTATCCTGGGATATTTTTATTCCTATGGAAAGTCTGTTTATCTAGGGTTAATCATTGGATATCTGCCTTTGTAAAGGCTCTCTTGAGTTATCCTTATGATCATTAATACAAAATGTCTGTTGACTTGTCTCTTGGGCTATCCTGGGATAATGACCCTGCGTGTCTTATGCCTCCCGACAGTGCGTTATGGGATGTTTTGTGACAGTTCGTTGGATATCCTCACATCTCTTCCATGTATCTAGGGCCATGGGATAATTATAAGCATACCATCTACCTCTCTACAGTGTGTCATGGGTTAACGTACGATACAGTCCTAAGTATATTTTATACCTCTCTATCATATATCTTGCGCCATCAATAATCTAAAGTATATCTTTGTATGTTTACAGGATGATTTCAGTGATCCTGGGGTAATCCATATGATTTCTTCTGCTTTCATCTAGGGTGTCCACCATGGCTGAACTGAACAAAAGCCTAACAGCCATGGACTGGCTACCTCGCCTCAACGCCAGAGGCGCTTTCACTGGTGGTATCTGGCTTGATAGTAGTGCTGACACGCCGGAGCTAGTGCAAGCCGACTCTTCGACGCCTCCCTCGCCACCTACCAACAGCAAGCCACCTTACAGGTATGTGTAACAGCAATGAATGTATAATATAAAGCCATATAAATTTATAAGAAAATTATTTTTAAGAAAGTTATTACTTAATATTTATTTTAATTTTATTTTTTTTTTTTTTTTGAGAAAAATATTTTAACAATTTTTTTTAGACATTTTGTTTAAGAAAGAATTTTGTTTAAAAATTTAACATTCACTAACACAGGTTCCTGACACTGGATATTGCAGTAAAGAACGTCGAGGGAGGAACCGTATCAATGATGTCTACTGGTAAATGATTAGAAAAGCAGTTCCTCACAATGTTGAGATCATCTGGATTAACCAGACACAGGGGCATTTGTCCCCTCAAGGGAGAGTCTTCGATGCCAGATAGAGGCTCTTGATCCAAAAGGTGTTGTATCTATCCTCCCCTTGGATTAAATCTGATTGTCCCCCCCCCCCCCATGGGGTTGGCACTTACCCATGAATTATTGCATAAATTTGTAACATTCTAAGGGCTGAATCTGCTTGTATCTGCTTGGTATCTGCAGACATGGGAAATCTGGAAAAACAGACGGGACGTGCAACTATGACCACCCTAGAAAATGCCGTGCCCATATGACAACAGGAAAATGCAAACTCCCTTCCTGTAAGCTTTTTCACCCTGAAATGTGTACCTCTTCAGTACAGGAAAGACTGTGCTATAACTTAAATTGCCAGGCACACCATCTAAAGGGGACAAAAAGATACAAAACATCCAGGCCATGGGAAAACCTGGGTAGCCACAGCCACTCAAGAGGGAGAGGTTTTTTAGCGCCAGGAAGGAAAAAAAACTGGGGAGGAAATGGCAGAAATCGTAAAAAATCCAGTCATTCCTGGAGTGGGAAACCCCAGTCGATGGCCTCCACTCCCAAACCAACAGATACAGATTTCTAATGCCGGAAAAAAAATCCCCCCCCCCCAGTACCAACAATACCACCAGTCCGATGACATTCTTCTTTGCAATATACAGGGTCAAAGCCAGCAACAAACAACAAAATAAACCTTTTCATCCGTGGACTGCTTGCAGAGGCAAAGGCAATGTTCCAGCTTCACTGAGACTCGCATAAAAAGGATCACTTGGACAACGAAATATGGATCCCAGGTTACAACCATACAGATGTGACAGAGTGAACAGGCAAAAGGGAGGGTTGGCCTGTACATTGCAGAGTCACTTGTTTGCACAGAACTGCTTAATGTCTCAAAGATGTAGTGGAAGTTTTAGCAGTAAAGATCGAGAACCAAAAAACCTAGTCATTGTGGTAGTCTACAAGCCCCCGGGATGCAACATCCCAGCAATTCCAGGAACAGCTTTTAAAAATTGACCATTGTCTGGAAAATCTTCCAGCTCCTGCACCCAACATCTTGCTCCTGGGGGTTTTCAACTTAAGGCACCTAAAATGGAGGAATATAGCAAATATTGTTGCAGTAATAACACCAAAGGAGGCAGCTCTGATGAAAACTCACACTCACACGAGCTTTTAAATCTCGGCACAAAATTAAATTTTAAAAACCAGCAAATAATAGAGCCTACTAGACTGGAAATGCACTAGCCCTCATTTTCACTAAAAATTTGATGATCTGATAAGAAAGTCACCATATCAAAAACAATATACTCAGATCACAACATATTGAGGTTCAGACAGCATGCGCGGACCCCCAGACCGACAAACGAGTTAGTTCACGAGGGAGCATTCACCAAATTCAACTTCAATAACAAAAACCCATAAAGGGTGGGACCAAGAAAAACCAAGTCCTAACCGATATAAGCTGGGAAGATATACTAAGCAACACAGACCCCAACTTATGCCTAGAACAGATTAACTTGGTGGCACTCGAGGGTATGCACAAGGCTTATTCCTCTAGAAAAAGGAGGAGTAGATGTAAAATAGAAAGAGACAGGCGGAGGCTCCCCTTTTCAGGCGACGGAAAAGAATAACAGAGCGGCCCAAAAGAGGTCATATATCTTTAAAAGCGTAGGGAGACACTGGTCAGAGAAATAGCAAGCATCGAACTTAAGCTAAAGGAATTTTTATAGGAGTCAGGAAACGCGGGAAGAACTAAAAAGCCATAAATGAAATCGAAAGAAACCCAAAGTATTTCTTCTCCTATGCCAAATCAAAGTCAAGAACAACGTCCAGTATTGGGCCCCTACTTAAACAAGATGGGTCCTACACAGATGACAGCAAGGAAATGGGTGAGCTACTCAAGTCCCAATATGACTCAGTTTTTAGCAAGCTGCTAACCAGACAGAGTCGAAGATCAAAATGAATTTTTTATGGGAGAGCCACAGAATTTGGTTAACACAAGCCTATCCGATGTTATCCTGACGCCAAATGACTTCGAACAGGCGATAAATGGGATTTCCCATGCACTCTGCCCCAGGGCCAGACTCATGGAACTTCCGTGTTCATCAAGAACTGCAAGAAGCCCCTATCACGACCTTTACCATCCTATGGAGAGGGAGCATGGACACGGGGGTCGTCCCACAGTTACTAAAAACAACAGACATAGCCCCACTCCACAAAGGGGGCAGTAAAGCAACAGCAAAGAACTACAGACCAATAGCACTAACATCCCATATAAAAATCTTCGAAAGGGTCCTAAGAAGCAAGATCACCACCCATCTAGAAACCCATCAGTTACACAACCCAGGGCAACATGGGTTTAGAACAGGTCGCTCCTGTCTGTCTCAACTATTGGATCACTACGACAAGGTCCTAGATGCACTAGAAGACAAAAAGAATGCAGATGTAATATATACAGACTTTGCAAAAGCCTTCGACAAGTGTGACCATGGCGTAATAGCGCACAAAGTGCGTGCTAAAGGAATAACAGGAAAAGTCGGTCGATGGATCTATAATTTCCTCACTAACAGAACACAGAGAGTAGTAGTCAACAGAGTAAAGTCCGAGGCAGCTACGGTGAAAAGCTCTGTTCCACAAGGCACAGTACTCGCTCCCATCTTGTTCCTCATCCTCATATCTGACATAGACAAGGATGTCAGCCACAGCATCGTGTCTTCCTTTGCAGATGACACCCGAATCTGCATGACAGTGTCTTCCATTGCAGACACTGCAAGGCTCCAGGCGGACATCAACCAAATCTTTCAGTGGGCTGCAGAAAACAATATGAAGTTCAACGATGAGAAATTTCAATTACTCAGATATGGTAAACACGAGGAAATTAAATCTTCATCAGAGTACAAAACAAATTCTGGCCACAAAATAGAGCGAAACATCAACGTCAAAGACCTGGGAGTGATCATGTCGGAGGATCTCACCTTCAAGGACCATAACATTGTATCAATCGCATCTGCTAGAAAAATGACAGGATGGATAATGAGAACCTTCAAAACTAGGGAGGCCAAGTCCATGATGACACTCTTCAGGTCACTTGTTCTATCTAGGCTGGAATATTGCTGCACACTAACAGCACCTTTCAAGGCAGGTGAAATTGCTGACCTAGAAAATGTACAGAGAACCTTCACGGCGCTCATAACGGAGATAAAACACCTCAATTACTAGGAGCGCTTGAGGTTCCTAAACCTGTATTCCCTGGAACGCAGGCAGGAGAGATACATGATTATATACACCTGGAAAATCCTAGAGGGACTAGTACCGAACTTGCACACGAAAATCACTCACTACGAAAGCAAAAGACTTGGCAGACGATGCAACATCCCCCCAATGAAAAGCAGGGGTGTCACTAGCACGTTAAGAGACCATACAATAAGTGTCAGGGGCCCGAGACTGTTCAACTGCCTCCCAGCATACATAAGGGGGATTACCAATAGACCCCTGGCAGTCTTCAAGCCGGCACTGGACAAGCACCTAAAGTTGGTTCCTGACCAGCTGGGCTGTGGCTCGTACGTTGGTTTGCGTGCAGCCAGCAGTAACAGCCTGGTTGATCAGGCTCTGATCCACCAGGAGGCCTGGTCACAGACTGGGCCGCGGGGGCGTTGACCCCCGGAACTCTGCCCAAGTAAACTCCAGGTAGGAAGAGAGGAGCCCTGAACTGTACCGGACTTCTTACTGCCTGTATGTTGAGCCTTCAACCTGCAGGTTAACCATAATACAGCGTCACACAACCCTTGCCACCTAATCCCTCCACTCCCTAGTTGTATGACCCTGAGCGTTTAGGGTATACCACATTGTCTCAACATCCCCTTGACGGTCCTCATTGCCCCAGATGCATTTTCAGTCCTAGTACTGGACCTGTGCTTAACGTCATTGTATCGTGAATGCCACTCACTTTTCTCCTGGATATGTTTTTTAGGAATGTAGAGCATCTGGGGAAAAAATTGAGTGTCATCCACGTTTTAATACAATGAAGTTAGGGACAGGTCCAGTGTCTTGGATCAAAGCATCTGAGGGGGAAGAAGGGAATGAGATTTGTTACTGTGGGGAAATCATCAGCAAGTGTTTGATCCAAGGAGCTAGACTGGTCTCATTCTTAGAGCTGAAAATGATTACTTGTTTTTTTTTCTTCCCCTTTCTATGTAACAGGAATTTACATTTTCTTCCTCCCCTACTCCTGGGGAAGTGTCATGGTGCCAGTGAGGTTCTTGAACCAAGGACCTAGACTTGGCATTCTGTAATTTGGTGCATACATGATCCCTCTGGGTTTAGTGCTTAAACATGTAACACAGGAATGTCAATATAACTAACAGTTTTTTTTTTCTTCTTCTGTGAGTTTGTTTCCCATTCTGTTGCAAAAAAAAAAAAAGAAAAATTCGAGAGGTCCATTTTCTATGATCCAAAAGTCCCTTGTGGCTTAGTGCTTCTTTTTGATTATAATATGATCCAAAAATTTCCCATTCTCTAGTCAGAAAAACCTATGGAAATTTCACTCCCATTTTCAAAAATCCATTTTCTATGATGACCCAAAAAGTTTCCCATTTTCATTGCTTCCAGCAAATCATAAAAGTTTACAGTGATAAGGAAAGTGAATACATAACATTATTCTTGATTTTATTTTATGAAGGAAATACTAATGAGAACCCAAGATCTCTTAAAAGGTAACATTTATTTTAACTTTTCATAACTGCAGCTGAAATGGTGCATCAGAGTTTAGTATACACTATATTATTATAATAAAAAAGAAGCACTAAGCCACAAGGGCTATACAGCACTGCAATATACACTATAGAAACCTTTACCCCCTTGTGGGTTGTAATTATATTACAAAGACCTTTGCCTTCACTTAAATGTATTTTTGAAAAAACTGCACTATATAAGGAAGCTTTATTAGAGAAAGAGTTAGAAAAATTTATACCCCACCTACATGCCCTCAGTCTGAACGAGGCTGGATATTACATGAATAAAGACTAAGCCTGCTGAACTAAACACCAGGAGCCTTCTATATAATTAAGGGCAATTACTGCTCTGCAAACCTTGTAGTTACGCACTCCAAGGTTCACTACATAATTATAATCGTAGCCAAGCACTAAACCCACAACGGTCATTCAGTAACTAGCTAACATGGGCCAATTACATAGTTTATCTGTGCATTCTCAAGCATCACAAAACTAAGTGTTCTCCACAGCCTACTTAACCTGACCTATCTTTGCCTGGCAACTTCCTGAATTAGTCAAAAAGAAGTGCTAAACCTACAAGTCGTACAGCAGCAGCTTGCTGAAAGACCCAGCAAGGCTCTGTGAAGGAAAGCTTCCCTACCCAGCCTAAAATATGCCTTTTCCAAATCTGTAAATGCAACAAAAACTTTTTTACCCTTAACTAAATTGCTCACTTATATGCTTCAGTGTATGCACATCATCTACCCTTCCTTAAACCTTTTTAATCTGCAATCCTGCATTCCATCTTACCCTTAATTCCTTCTATAAGTCGGCCATACACCTTACCAGGTATACTCCCAGTCAACAGGATAGGTCTAATTCCTTGGATCAAGAATCCCCTTTAGGGATATATGTACATAAAAGCTAGCTGTTATCTTTAGGAAAAAATGCTAAACCCACAGGGGTTACATAGTGCCTGGGAAATGGGAGGCATTCAAGTCAGTCCAAGGAAGGATAAAGTAAGCCTATGTTCAATATCACTTGAAGTTCCATATTTTTGTCTAAACTGTCGTACCTGAGCACTTCTGCAAAGACAGTGATTATGTATGAGTGATGGTGAAAGTGATTTTTTTTGGGGGGAGGGGGGGGGGGGCTCTCTTTTAATCACCCTGCCTCGGTGGGAAATGGCCAATGTGTTTAGTACCAACATTATCGTATTAATTTAAGAAATAAACCTGGGACATACAGCAGTGCAGTATTACAAAAAATAGTTACCTGTTAAGCTATTAAGTTTAGCTAAATTAAATATTTGCTTTTTAATTAGCTAGTTAGCAAGGTAACTAGCCACAGAAATAAGTAAATAGTTATGTATTTAACTGCCAGATTAGCTAGCAAAAAGTTAGGTAAAATGTTAAATTTATATCATCTATTTACTCAACATCTATTTATTTTTCTACTTAAGATATTTACCCTACTAATTATTTCAGAGGTGATATTGCTAGTTTGCTATTCAGCTAGTTGATTTATTAAACTTTATAACTACCTAGGAGAAAACCAACTATCTAGTTTTCTTAGCTGGCTGTAAAGCAATATACAGTGGACCCCCGGTTAACGATATTTTTTCATTCCAGAAGTATGTTTAGGTGCCAGTACTGACCGAATTTGTTCCCATAAGGAATATTGTGAAGTAGATTAGTCCATTTCTGACCCCCAAACATACACGTACAAACGCACTTACATAATTGGTCGCATTGGGAGGTGATCGTTAAGTGGGGGTCCACTGTATTTAACCCTTAAACTGTCCAACCAGATCTACATTCACATGCGTAGTGCTCCAAAAGTAGATCTATGTTTTTTTACATATTTTCAATAAAAAAAAAAAAAAAAAAAAAATGTAGATCAAAATTTTTTTTACACGTTTTCAAAAGTAAAAAACAAAAGATGATCTACGTTTTTTTACATACTTTCAAATGTTGAAAACACATAGATCTACGTTTGGACAGTTTAAGGGTTAATAAACTTTCAGGCTGGTTAGCTTTTTACTTGGGTTTGGAACTAGCTTTTTTTTTTTTTTTTTGGTTAAATGATTCTCAGAGGCCAATAAATGCCCACCAAGCATGGGGTAAATGAAAAATGACTGACTCCTCGATTTTCCACTCAGCATTCACCATCTGTGCTCTCTCTCATTGTACTGTATCCAGTGTTTGGGTTCCTTTCCACAGCCTTTGCCTACCCCTAGACATCCTAATCCTCATTTCTCAATGGCTACATAGCTTAGTCTAGGTAGGGTAATTAGGTGCATTCCAATAACCCAGCATAAATCAATATGGCCTGCAACTATTACCTAATCATTATGACTAATCATTACTATGATAATGCCTAATCACAATGACTAACATCTAATCCCTGAACATGTGAATACAGATAAGCAATGCAGTACACTTAATGGCCATTATCTGGTATGGTAGAAGATGATTACTGATGATTGCTGTATAGCCCTTGTGGCTTAGCGCTTCTTTTTTGATTATAATAATAATAATAATAATAATAATAATTACTGATGATTTATTTGACCTCAATCACCTGTGTCAGCAACACTACCTCACCTCACACCTGTACCAACAATACTGCCACATCACCTGGGGAATGGGAGGCATTCAAGTTCATTTCAAGGAAGGAGAGGAAAAGTCCAGTTCCTTGGATTAAGAGCCCCATACTGACATCCTGGCACAGCAAATCTCTTAAAGAGCAAGGATCACACAACACCTAGAAAATGAGAGGAAATCAGGTTTAATATGAGTGAGATTAGTTCTAATGCCTTAGACTGACCCCTTCATTGGCACCCCCTTTAAAAGGCAATACTTGAACTCTACTTCAATCAAGGGCCATTTGCCTGACTCGAGGCTCCTCCCTTGTAGGGTACTGGTAACTTCAAGTACACATGTTAAGGTTACATAGATTACAACAAACATTAAGCTGTATAAAAACTGTATTAGTTCACTTATACACACACACACACAAAAAAAAAAAAAAATGGCATTTTCTTAGATATCATAGTATTAAAAATAATATTTGAAATCTGAAAAGCATTGTGGCCATCCTTCATAAATGTACCCTCCCTTGTATACAGGTCTCCCTCAACATTCACGTTTTCAGCTTTCGCGGGCTTCACACATTCGCGAATTCCCAACCGCCAAATCATATTCAAGTTTCCCGCCACCTGCGAGTCCCTACTACCCTCCCTCCGACCCCCGCAACTGGCAGCCAGCCCTCCCACCACTCAGTGTGGTGAGTGTTTTGTTTGTTCATTATTTGCTATTAAACTACAGTATAAATAATGTAAACACATTCATGACTGCATATTGGAATGGCTATTTGGACAGGTATTGGACGGTGACATCATGTGTTTACTCTTGAACACAGCAAAGAATCAAACATTTCTGCTACTGCTAATAATAACAATAGTAATAATAATAATAATAATACGATATAATTGAAGAAGGAAATTGTACAAAAATACGAGGGAGTGGTTGACACATCGTCAGTGTGGCTTTGTTTATGCTGGAGTGAACATTAGTCTCCCTGCTCTTCCAAACATTTCACAATAATTCATTGTTTGGTGCTTGTAGATTGAGTGTGACTGGAGTGGTTGAGGCAGTGGTAGAGGCAGTGATATTTACTAACATATTTTTTTTTTTTTTTATCACACTGGCCGATTCCCACCAAGGCAGGGTGGCCCGAAAAAGAAAAACTTTCACCATCATTCACTCCATCACTGTCTTGCCAGAAGGGTGCTTTACACTACAGTTTTTTAAACTGCAACATTAACACCCCTCCTTCAGAGTGCAGGCACTGTACTTCCCATCTCCAGGACTCAAGTCCGGCCTGCCGGTTTCCCTGAACCCCTTCATAAATGTTACTTTGCTCACACTCCAACAGCACGTCAAGTATTAAAAACCATTTGTCTCCATTCACTCCTATCAAACACTCTCACGCATGCCTGCTGGAAGTCCAAGCCCCTCGCACACAAAACCTCCTTTACCCCTCCCTCCAACCTTTCCTAGGCCGACCCCTACCCGCCTTCCTTCCACTACAGACTGATACACTCTTGAAGTTATTCTGTTTCACTCCATTCTCTCCACATGTCCGAACCACCTCAACAACCCTTCCTCAGCCCTCTGGACAACAGTTTTGGTAATCCCGCACCTCTCCTAACTTCCAAACTACAAATTCTCTGCATTATATTCACACCACACATTGCTCTCAGACATGACATCTCCACTGCCTCCAGCCTTCTCCTCGCTGCAACATTCATCACCCATGCTTCACACCCATATAAGAGCGTTGGTAAAACTATACTCTCATACATTCCCCTCTTTGCCTCCAAGGACAAAGTTCTTTGTCTCCACAGACTCCTAAGTGCACCACTCACCCTTTTCCCCTCATCAATTCTATGATTCACCTCATCTTTCATAGACCCATCCGCTGACACGTCCACTCCCAAATATCTGAATACATTCACCTCCTCCATACTCTCTCCCTCCAATCTGATATCCAATCTTTCATCACCTAATCTTTTTGTTATCCTCATAACCTTACTCTTTCTGTATTCACTTTCAATTTTCTTCTTTTGCACCCCCTACCAAATTCATCCACCAATCTCTGCAACTTCTCTTCAGAATCTCCCAAGAGCACAGTGTCATCAGCAAAGAGCAACTGTGACAACTCCCACTTTATGTGTGATTCTTTATCTTTTAACTCCACGCCTCTTGCAAAGCCCTCGCATTTACTTCTCTTACAACCCCATCTATAAATATATTAAACAACCACGGTGACATCACACATCCTTGTCTAAGGGCCCTACTTTTACTGGGAAATAATTTCCCTTTTTCCTTTTGTACTCTAACTTGAGCCTCACTATCCTTGTAAAAACTTTTCACTGCTTTCAGTAACCTTTACCTCCTACACCATACACCTGCAACATCTGCCACATGCTCCCCTACCCACCCTGTCATACGCCTTTCCAAATCCATAAAGCCACAAAGCCCTCTTTAGCCTTATCTAATACTGTTCACTTATATGTTTCACTGTAAACACCTGGTCCACACACCCCCTACCTTTCCTAAAGCCTCCTTGTTCATCTGCTATCCTATTCTCCTCTTACTCTTAATTCTTTCAATAAAAAACTCTACCATACACTTTGCCAGGTATACTCAAAGACTTATCCCCTATAATTTTTGCACTCTCTTTTATCCCCTTTGCCTTTATACAAAGGAACTATGCATCCCTCTCTGCCAATCCCTAGGTACCTTACCCTCTTCCATACATTTATTAAATAATTGCACCAACCACCCCAAAACTATATCCCCACCTGCTTTTAACATTTCAATCTTCATCCCATCAATCCCGGCTGCCTTACCCCCTTTCTTTTTAAACCTACTGCCTCACGAACTTCCCCACACTCGCAACTGGCTCTTCCTCACTCCTACAAGATGTTGTTCCTCCTTCCCCTATACACGAAATCACAGCTTCCCTATCTTCATCAACATTTAAACAATTCCTCAAAATTTTCCCCTCCATCTTCCCAATACCTCTAACTCTCCATTTAATAACTCTCCTCTCCTTTTTTAACTGACAAATCCATTTGTTCTCTAGGCTTTCTTAACTTGTTAATCTCACTCCAAAATTTTTCTTATTTCAACAAAATTTGTTGATAACATCTCACCACTCTTCATTTGCTCTCTTTTACATTGCTTCACCACTCTCTTAAACCTCTCTCTTTTTCTCCATATACTTTTCCCCTCCTTTCATCACTTCTACTTTGTAAGAACTTCTCATATGTAAACTTTTTCCCCCTTTACTACTCTTTCCATCATCATTCCCCCCAATCGCTCCTCTTCCCCCCTGCACCCACTTTCCTGTAACCACAAACTTCTGCTGAACACTAACACTACATTTTTAAACCTACCCCATACCTCTTCGACCCCATTTCCTTTGCTCTCATTAGCCCATCTATCCTCCAATAGCTGTTTATATCTTACCCTAAAATGCCTCCTCTTTTAGTTTATAAACCCTTTACCTCTCTCTTCCCTGATGCTTCTATTCTCCTTGTATCCCATCTACCTTTTACTCTCGTTTTAGCTACAACTAAAAGTGATCTGATATATCTGTGGCCCCTATAAAAATGTACATCCTGAAGTCTACTCAACAGTCTTTTATCTACCAACACATAATCCAACAAACTACTGTCATTTTGCCCTACATCATATCTTGTATACTTATTTATCCTCTTTTTCTTAAAATATGTATTACCTATAACTAAACCCCTTTCTATACAAAGTTCAAGCAAAGGGCTCCCATTATCATTTACACCTGGGACCCCAAACTTACCTACACACCCTCTCTAAAAATTTCTCCTACTTTAGCATTCAGATCCCCTACCACAATTACTCTCTCACTTGGTTCAAAGGCTCCTATACATTCACTTAACATCTCCCAAAATCTCTCTCCCTCCTCTGCATTCCTCTCTTCTCCAGGTGCATACATGCTTATTATGACCCACTTCTCGCATCCAACTTTACTTTAATCCACATAATTCTTGAATTTACACATTCATATTCTCTTTTCTCCTCCATAACTGATCATTCAAAAATTACTGCTACCCCCTTCCCTTTTCTCAACTCTCTCAGAACTCCAGATTTAATCCCATTTATTTCCCCCCACCGAAACTCCCCTACCCCCTTCAGCTTTGTTTTGCTTAGGGCAGGACATCCAACTTCTTTCATTCATAACATCAGCAATCATCTGTTTCTTGTCATCCGCACTACATCCACGCACATTTAGCATCCCAGTTTTATAAAGTTTTTCTTCTTCTCTTTTTTAGTAAATGTCTACAGGAGAAGGGGTTACTAGCCCATTGCTCCCGGCATTTTAGTCGCCTCATACGACACGCATGGCTTACGGAGGAAAGATTCTTTTCCACTTCCCCATGGACAATAGAAGAAATAAAGAGGAACAAGAGCTATTTAGAAAAAGGAGAAAAACCTAGATGTATGTATATATATATGCATGTACGTGTCTGTGAAGTGTGACCAAAGTGTAAGTAGGAGTAGCAAGATATCCCTGTTATCTAGCGTGTTTATGAGACAGAAAAAAGAAACCAGCAATCCTACCATCATGCAAAACAGTTACAGGTTTCTGTTTCACAGTCATCTGGCAGGACGGTAGTACTTCCCTGGGTGGTTGCTGTCTACCAACCTACCTACTACTATTATTATAAATAATAATAGTACATTATGAATAACATTTATTATTATTATTATAAATGTTATTAATATTAATATGTACTATTATTATTTATAACATATGTATATGTTAGTAAATACCACTGCGTCACCCACTGCCTCTATCACTGTCTCTATCACTGCCTCTACCACTGCCTCAACCGCTGAATTATTGTGAAATGTCTGGAAGAGCAGGGAGACTAATGTTCACTCCAGCATAAACAAAGCCACACTGACGATGTGTCAACCACTCCCTCGTATTTTTGTACAATTTCCTTCTTCAATTATATCGTATTATTATTATTATTATTATTAGCAGTAGCAGAAATGTTTGATTCTTTGCTGTGTTCAAGAGTAAACACATGATGTCACCGTCCAATACCTGTTCAAATAGCCATTCCAATATGCAGTCATGAATGTGTTTACATTATTTATACTGTAGTTTAATAGCAAATAATGAACAAACAAAACACTCACCACACTGAGTGGTGGGAGGGCTGGCTGCCAGTTGCGGGGGTCGGAGGGAGGGTAGTAGGGACTGGCATTGGTTGAGGAAGTGGTGGAGGCAGTGGTGGAGGCAGTGCTGGAGTCTGTGGTATTTAATAACATACATGTTATTAAAGCATAACATGTATATATTTAGTACAACTTACGACATTTTCATGTATTTTATGATTGTTCATGGTTCAACAAGTTAAGCAGTATTGTATTATATTTCCCTACAATATATTGGGGCACCAAACATTCACGGTTTTTCAACATTCGCGAGGCTCTTGATCCCCTAACCCTCACGAATGTTGAGGGACACCTGTACTTGCTTTTATATATACAGTTGACCTTTGAACAACACAAGTTTAAACTGAACGGGTCCACTTACATGCAGATTTTTTTCAATAATTATACTGGAATTTTTTTTTGGAGAATTGCGACAATTTGAAAAAACTCACAAACCGTGTAGCTTTGAAATATCGAAACAATTAAGAAAAAGTTAGGTATGTCATGAATGCATAAGATATATTTAGAAACTTGTCTATTTTATCATTTACTATAAAATACACACAAATATATTATAAAAAGTTAAAATTTATCAAAACTTACACACAAAAAAAAAAAACACTTAGATCGTTCATGATGCCATTTGCAGTCAAGAGAAATGTAAACAAATGTAAAGATGCAATATTCAATCATATCTGCAGAAAAAAGATTACAGGCATGTCTTGCTACTTCTACTTACACTTAGGTCACATACATGTACACATTTATTTATACACACTCATCTGAGTTTTCTTTGATTTTATCTTAATAGTTCTTGGTCTTATTACTTTTCCTTTTATATCCATGGGGAAGTGGAATAAGAATCTTTCCTCCGTAAGCCATGCGTGTTGTAAAAGTCAACTAAAATGCCGGGAACAATGGGCTAGTAACCCCTTTTCCTGTAAAGATTACTAAAAAGAATAAGAAGAAAATTGTTTTCTTTCTTTTTTGGGTCACCCTGCCTCGGTGGGAGACGGCCGACTTGTTGAAAAAAAAAAAAAAAAATTCTGCAGAAAATCAACTGTAGTACATACTCTACTACTATTGTACATATTACTAGTGTTAGTAATATGTATAACATCTACAATGTTTTGTATCATATAAGACAATATTGATGTAGGTACTGACAGACAATTCAACTTGTAAACAGACTACGTAAACTTGCGGTACTGATAAACACAGTACAGTACTGTAAATGTATTTTCTCTTATGATTTTCTTAGTAACATTTTTTCTCTAACTTACTTTATTGTAAGAATACAGTGTTTATGTTATTGGTAAGGCTTCCTGTCAACTGTAGTTTAGGTTTTGGAGACTCAAATGTCAGACATGGATTTTTGACCCGACATGGTTTTGATCAGACATGGATTTTTGACCTTTAACCCAAGTTGTTCAAGGGGTCAGGTGTAAAATAAATTAAATGCAAATTTTTGACCACTGATCTGGTATGAAGGAGAGAGAAGATGCATGATAGTGAAAAGGCAAGAATTAAAAAGTGGATATACAGAAAATAGCAAGAATCAGCTGGTTCATGTAGTTTAGGTCTGTATTAACAGTAATTTCTGAGCTGTGATATTAGGAGTGGTTTCTTCAATAACAAGCAGCACTTCCTGCACATAACTAGTATACAACTTTGCCCTATCTGCTTTAAAATAAAACTGTTAACACACTACTTTGTTTCATAGGATATCTTATATTTCCACTGTATATTTATGTAATCCTATATTCTCTTAAGGAATCAGTGTTCAGCTTTCTGAAGATAAACATATTCATTCCCTGTTCCAGACTTCCAAATACAGTATTGTCAGCTCTTTTATATACTTCACTACCTTCCACAAATATGTTTGCTGAACTCTCTGCCTCACAGTTATTAACCATTTAAAATATAATGAAAACCAAGTTGCATATGTTAACACATTAGTTTTTTGTAACAATGGTGAATTAGTTGAATCACAGATGTCCAGCCCCTGTATAGGCATTCTGTGTCCTAACAATGTCTTCAGGCACAGCTGTCCCAATCTCTGTAAACTGTCTTCCTGGACCCTGACAATACCTCTGCTGTTACAGCTGTATTAGTCCCTGTACACACACTTTCTGGTCCCTAACAATACCTCCACTGTTGCAGTTATGCCAGCCTCATCACGATGGCAATCAACAGCAGCAGTCGCAAGAAGATGACTCTGGCAGAAATCTACCAGTGGATCACTGACAGCTTCTGCTACTACCGCCAAGCTGCCTCTGGCTGGAAGGTGAGTCTCTTCCCTCCTCAGGGCCACATACATCCTGTTGAAGCTATCTTTGCAACTATGTAAAGTGTATGAATGTGTAATAGCTCACACGTTTCCCTGCAGAACTCTGTGCGCCACAATCTCTCTCTCAACAAGTGCTTCAAAAAGGTACCGCGTACAAAGGACGACCCTGGCAAGGGTTCCTATTGGGCCATCGATGCATCCCATACTGCCGACGACCCACTCTCCAAGAAAAGGAAGCAGTCATGTCCCAGGGTAATTATTACATTAATGGGGAAACACTAAACCCATTAAAGTCATACAGCACATGGGGACTGGAAGATAATTAGGTTAGATCTAAGAAAGGGGAGCATAGCTCCTGCAGAAAACTGTGAGCACATCTTTGATATGATTGGTAATAAATAAAATCATTTATTCATGCCTTTCACAAATCTACAGTTTTTTTTTTTTTCTGGATAAAAATGGATAGGAGAGAGAAGGAACCAGTCACTCATTAATGACAAATTCAAATGGACTTACCAGGGATGTGGCATCTCTCCCTAGTTAACTTCGCACTTGCTGGCTACACCTAAATCTAGTACATTGTGATGATTGGTTACCTGTAAAATATAACTGATCTGTAAAATAAGTCATACTCAACAGTTATTAGTATACTTCAGACTGACAACAAACATGATCACCAGGGTATCAAGAAGTAATATTGATATCCTATTTTAAGTAATGATCCTACCTATAACTGCCTGCTCAAACCTCAGAAGTATGACTGTTCTGTACTATGGTAGTCATCAATGCTGCTTACAGAACTGATGTGGTAGAGACCATAAACATGGTACATTGACTTCCTACTGACCTCCCTACTACCACTTGATTTTTTTTTAACACGTCAGCTGTCTCCCACTGAGGCAGGGTGACCCAAAAAAGAAACACTTTCATCGTCATTCACACAATCACTGTCTTTGCAGAGGTGCCCAGATATGACAGATGTCACTCCAAATGGCCAATATCCCAAACTTCTCCTTTTAAAGTGCATGCATTGTACTTCCCACCTCCAGGATTCAAGTCTGGCTAACCGGTTTCCCTGAATCCCTTCACAAAATATTACCTTGCTCACACTCCAACAGCTCATCAGGTCCCAAAAACCATTCGTCTCCCTTCACTCCTAAGAGGCTCACATGCCTGCTGCATGTCCAGGCCCCTTGCACACAAAACCTCTTTTACCCCCTCCCTCCATCCTTTCCTAGGACGATCCCTACCCCTCCTTCCCTCCACTACAGATTTATACACCCTCCAAGTTATTCTGCTTTGTTCCATACTCTCTAAATGACCAAACCACCCCAATAATCCCTCTTCAGCCATCTGAATAATACTTTTTTGTAACTCCACACCTCCTAATTTCCACACTGTGAATTCTGTGCATAATATTTACACCACACATTGCCCTTAGACATGACATCTCCGCTGCCTCCAGCCTCCTCCTCGCTGCAGCATTCACAGCCCATGCCTCACATCCACATAAGAGCATTGGTACCACTATACAGTCATACCCGAGCTTCATATAGCTCTCAACTCGAACAATTATGTAAGTGCATTATTGTAAGTGCTTTTGTAAGTGTATATTTGGGGGTCTGAAACGGACTAATCTAATTTACACTATTCCTTCTGGAACGAATTATGGCCGAAATTTGGGATAACTATAATCTTGTACATTCCCTTCTTTGCCTTCATGGATAATGGTTTTTGTCTCCAGATACCTCAATGCACCTTTTTTTCCTCATCAATTCTATGGTTAACCTCGTCCTTCATAAACCCATCTGCTGACAACTCTACTCCCAGTTATCTGAACACATTCACTTCTTCCATACTCCCTCCCTCCAATGTGATATCCAATTTTTCTTTACCTAACTCATTTGATACCCTCATCACCTTACTCTTATTTATGTTCACTTTCAACTTCCTCCTAAACTTGTCCACTAACCTTTGCAACTTCTCTTTAGAATCTCCCAAAAGCACAGTATCATCAGCAAAAAGTAACAATGAGAACTAAATAAATGACTAATGAAATGGATAAATGAACATTTAACATCACATTTACCTTTATTGAAGATTCTTGTTGGCGTATGGAAGACAGGGAGGAGGGAGGGAGGGAGGACTGATTATTGTTTGGAAAGGGAATCCCCTTCCATAAGGTCTTAACCCTTTGAGGGTCGACAGGCCCTCTCCGAGACTCGTTCTCAGGGTCGGCCAAATTTAAAAAAAAAAAAAAAAAAAATTTTCTTATGAAAAGATAGAAAATCTTTTCCCTATCATAATGACATCAAAAACATGAAATTTGATGGAAAACTTACGGAATTATGCTCTCGTGAAGTTAGCGGTCTCGGCGATGTTTACGGATCGGCGATTTTGCCCAATTTGAGCCCCACTTTCTGCCAGTTCCACTGTACTAGTCGACAAAAAACATGAATATTTCGCTAGAACTCCATTTTTTCTATTGAATGAGTGCAAGAAACCACCCATTTACCAATATCAACTATCCAGTACAGTGGTCAGAATTTAGCAATTTTGCCAATTTCACACAAATTTCAAAAGATGCCAATTTCCGAATAGGGTCCAGAACAAACAAGAAATACATTCCTGGCACTAAAATGACATTTCCTCTGTTCATTAGTCATGTCTCAAGGCCCCACTTACATTCTTTTGCTTTCCACTTTGAATTTTTATTCTCACAAAAAATAGAAGATTTACAGTTATACAGACTACTGCATTAGTGTAAAAAATGGTATGAACCATATTGGCGCACTTGCAAAAGAATATTAGACTCACCAGTTGACGTGTATTGGACGCTTGGCATGATTTGTTTACTTTTGAACTTTGGTAAAAATCGAACATTTCTGCTACTTTGAGCTCAATTTCAAGGTACTTTTCATTGCAAAACCAGTCAAAATCATCTAAATTTCTATGATATGCCTTCCATTCTATAAAATGAGACCAAGAAAACTAGAATACAACAATAAATACCATACGAAAATACAGTGCAAAGTCGCTGTTTTATTCCAAAAAAACGGTCAGTTTTTTTTTCCTCATTATGCACTGTGTGCTGCAGGATTTTTTTATACCGTGCACACTGACCACATAGACCCATTCTTTCATATGGAGGCCTACCAGCTTTCTCCCACTAGATTTGAGGGCGCTAGAATTTAGGCGTACTAGTACATCAAAAACCCTGGGTCGTAAGCCGTACTAGTACGTCCGAAACCCTCAAAGGGTTAAGGTATCAAGTCCCTATCCAGGTGTTACTTCCTTTCTTTGTTTTTTTTTACTGGCACTAGGACCAGCTTGAGAGTCACTGCACCCCTGTCACACAAAAAAAAAACTGTCAAGAGAGGTCTGTTTCTGGCATCTCTAAGATTTGCCCGAAGTGGGACAAGGTTGTGTCACTGAATTCTACCGTGTTTTTCACTTTCTTTACCAAAGGGCTGGCACTCGGAACTTTCTTTGGGCCCATGGTGGCTTATTTCAGTTCCACTCAATAAACCACAAAAGAATGGATTATAACGAAATATTTGGATGAATGCGCAGAGTGTTGCTCACTCACTGAGAGACAGCCAGACTGACTCACATATACGGCGTCGAGGGTGGATGCGTCCAATACGGCCTATTTCCGAGTTGCCGGCTGAAATCCAAGATTTTGGCCAAAAAAGCAGACAAAATCTGATTTGGCCGATATCCGGGGGTCCACTGCATAAAGGAATTATACGTGCTCTCTGCCAATCCCTAGGTACCTTCCCCTCTTTCATACATTTATTGAACAAAAGTACCAACCACTCCAAAACTATATTCCCTCGCCCCTACTTTTAACACGTCTGTCATAACCCATCAGTTTCAGCTTCTTTACCCCCTTATGACCACTTGATGTGTCAGACTTAATTTTGCTGGGCTGAGGTGAAGATCTTGCAACTATCAACACTAATTTCAGCTTGAACTCTGAGATCCTCCTCCTCATCCCTTCATTTGAATCACAATGGCAGTTACCACAGATGACATTAACCTTTCAAGAACTGATCTAAACAATATGCAAACTCTCTGCAATAACATTGCTCCCAAAAGCAATCATCTTATATAGTTTTCTCCAATGCGCTGAGGTCAGTGGTCACGTGTGGTCATACCTGCCTAAGCTCTTGGGAGTTAGCGAGGGGTGTTACCAAGCACGATGGCTTGTTGTAGTATTTTAGAATCTCAGGTTCAAGTGTTGAAGGAGGAGGTTCTACTTCTTCAGGAGGAAAACAGGAGGCTGAAGCTTCGCCTAGATGGGTTTGAGAGTGTGAGATGGATTTAGCTGGTAAGGAGGAAATGGTCACCAGCAGTGAGAATGGCAGCCGCTTTAAGTGGTAAGTGGTTTACAGTTCAGGAAGAAGGAAGATAAGGAGGGTTAATAGAGAAGATGTGAAGGTAGGAAATCGATTCTCTGTTCTCCAGGATGAGTGTACTTCAGGGGTTAGCGAGGTTAAAGGTACCACTGATTCCCCTGCTAATCAAGGTAAGAATATTCTAATTGTAGGAGATTCTCAGGTAAGATATATGGACCATGCTTTTTGTAACAGAGATAGAAAGATCATACAGACGGTGTGCCTCCCAGGAGTTGGTGTTGGTGACATAGTCAGCAGGCTGGATATTATGATGTCAGGTAATGGGAACAAGCCCGTTATCTGTCTTAGTGCTGGGGGTAATGACATTGGGGATGGCAGGAGACAGGAGCTGCTGGATAAGTACAGGTCAGCCATAGAAGTAGTCAGATCTAAGGGAGGGATCCCAGTTATATGTAGCATCTTGCCTAGAAAGAGTGGGCAATGAATGGATATCTAGGGCAATTGGTATAAATTGCTAGCTAGACAGGTACTGTAAGGAGCTTGCAATCCCATTCATTGATAACTGGGACAAATTCTATGGCAAACGTGATATGTATACAAGGGATGGGGTTCATCTCTCTGGGGCTGGAGTGGCTGCATTAGCCAGTTCGATTGAGGGGGTAATTGATGACTTGCCTAGGACTTTAAACTGATAGATTATAGAGGTATGGGTATTTGTGGGTAACAATCGGGCTGCAGTATTAGGGTTGAAAACAGCAGATATTACTGGGATACCTCAGGGATATGTTTAAAAGACAATATTCAAAATAAAGTTGCTAGTAAAGGTAAATCAATTGATCAACAAACAAAGAGAGATAGTAGAGGGCAATGTGTGACTAGCTCCCTTAAGGTTTACTATACAAATAGTACGAGTCTAAGAAATAAGATAGATGAGCTAAGATTACTTGCAAGTGCAGGTAATATAGATATTATTAGTATAACAGAGACCTGGTTCAACCTGAAAGATAGATAAATGCTTTCTGAATGCAACATACAGGGTTATAAACTATTCCACACTGATAGGGTCAACAGGAAGGGTGGTGGATTGGCAATGTATGTCAGAGATAATTTCAATTGTTGTCTTAGCCATGATATAAGATTAGAAACATCGGACACAGAATCTGTTTGGCTACAGTTTCTCGAGGGTCGTGACAAATTAATTTTGGGTGTGATTTATGGGCCCCCCAAACCTTGAT